CATTAGAAATATATACATGGAAACATTCAACCTGGTTATATACGTTTGAAACATTCTATTCGCGATTCCACGACTGGAATAGTTCGCAGAGTGGCAAAAATAACAGCGGGTGTATTTATACCGGTCTGCTGACTCTGATTATCCGTATCCCAGGCGTTTTGATCTTCCGCCATATTTTTGGTAAATGTGCATGTTTGTAGATACTAGCCTTTGATCTCTATATGAGATGAGTCTCGTTAAGTTAACTTCGCGAGACGAAATTAGTTTTCATTACAGACATGGTACCATTTTCGGAACTCGATATTTGGATTTCTTGTGGGAATTACTCATACACGGCAACTACAATTAGGAGTGGAAGATTAAGCTGTCATACTCCTATCAAAGTCTGGACCATCGACGCCACTAAAAGCAGTATCAGTCGCTGAGGTGATCAAACAATGCTCGACGAGACAGCATCGAAAGTAACTGGTTTGGTAACAAGTAGTGCAACCTATCTCTAATATCACCGTAAAGCTGCACCCCGTTTCGCAAGTCATGATAAACTGCTATGAAAAGCAAACATCCGTACAGAATATGTTTGAGTTGAACGATGATCGAAAACACGAAGTGCGACTTGATACGCAAATCCACACAGCAGATAGGTCAGTTGAACAATCAGAGCGACGCGTGCGTCTATTTATTCACGGGCATGCGCCTGTTTTATATATGACGAGAGTGGTAAAGTAGTTAATTGAAGTCCCGGTCTGTCAGTACCAAAGGTGCGACCGTCACCCAGCCGTACAACAAGAGGGTGAGCCACGACGACACAATCTTGACCCACACGGCAGGCATCGCATGGCCAATCTCCATGGCATCGGCAGTGCTTGTGTTGGTGCTGATAGTACCCCAGTTGGTGATGATCATCATCACGTAGAGTGACGCTAGGGCGAATATAAAGTGGAATAGGGACCAGTTATAGTGCACGCCGTCTTCTTCGTCATCCGACTGTTCGCTCGTAACGCCTGAGGAGGAAGAGAGAGGGCAAGGATTTATCATGAGCTGTTTGTACGGTCATTGATCGGGCTTTGATATATTACCGACACGTATCTTCTTAATACTCGTAAAATGTGTCGCGAATTGAGTCAAAGGGTATAAAACTCATGTCAATGATACACAACCAACGAAATAGATATATCAAGTAGCTGGCATCGCGTAGAGGGTCTGACGCGATGGATGCAAACGTCCGCCACCTAAGCACAAGTGCACGTGACGTCAAACTAAATTGCGTATACAATATTCGTCCATCGTATACAGTACAGGTCTATCAGCTTTCATATGCCTTTGTACGTGTTTACCCACAGCCGACTTCCACGAAATGAGCACCTTGTTCATCGCCACCTCCGAACTCGAGGGATTGTGCAAAGCTAGCTGTGGATACCATCGATACGTATCCGATGGATACGAACGCACACAGCGTCCCAATTTGACGGCAAAAGCGACTAAAAATAAATAAACACATATATAGATATATGTAGGTATACCTGTTTAAATACATAAATAAACTCATATTGCAATGTAGGTATATCTGTAAATATACAAAGATATACTCATATAATACGTACCCCCGGCTTCCATCAAAGGAGCGCCGTCCTCATCGCCACCTCCCAAACCAAGGGATGAGGCAGAGCTGTTTGTAGACGCTGCAACAGATGCGTAACCTATAGATACGAACGTGAACAACGCCCCCACTACGCGTGTAATGGTCTGCGCTGCACCCACATCTCCAAACTTGTAGCCATCGGGATGGCACACCTCATCTGTGAAGGTACAAGCAGAGGAACAGATTGTGTATGGTTTAAACCACACAAGCGGTACTAGTGAGTTCATTGGTGTTGTGTCGGTTGATAGAGCCTGCCATACTATGCAGGTGACAAATCGTGAAGTGTGAGATGCTCTCTGTCGCGGCAATAAAACGTGAAACTGTATACTTGATTAGCGAGATTGGCAACACTGCATTTGTTTGAAATGTGATGGGAAAGTCAGAATGTATGACGAAAAGTTGGAGATTCAGAAGTCACAGATAATAACGGTGATAGCCACGAAGAATAGGCAACTACATACTTCATGTTGACACTTGCCGATGAATACAAAAGTATAAAAAACTACTTCTAAAACTTCAGCATAAAGTACTCGAAAGCTAAGCCTGATATAGAGACAAACATTTACCTGGGTAGTTCGAGACGGCACCGAAAACAAGGTACGACGCGTACAAGCACACGCACGCAGCCTGCAGCAGGCCACTCTTCTCATTGTGCTCCTGTACTGCCGGCGCAATGCTCAGGAAGCACACGGTGATGCATCCCAACAGGTTAGTAGTGATGAAGAACACATTAAGGGAGCAGTCTCCGTGGCCAATGTAGTGCACATACATGATTACAGTCAATGCTAGGGTGAGCCCCAACATGCCGAATGTGCAGCTGAGCAGTGCAATGTACCACTGATTGGTATCGTCCTCCTCCCATCTTGCGATCCAGCTTTCTGACCAGTCAAAGGCAAAGTCTACCAGCAGCTGTGGTATGTGATTATGGGTGAGTAATCGCATGTACATACACCCATGACATCGTCAGGATACATAAACGGGCTCGAATATACATGCGCGATTGATTATAGTATCAGCTCAGGAAGTGGATGAATACGCCTGAACCTATTGTTTATTGTAATAGATATTTTCGACTATAATTAACTTGTGCATCACCAGAGTGCAGTTGAGAGGTACAATAGCACCTGCCAGGTCACATATATCGCGCAGACTGACTTCAGACACACACAACAACTTCGCGTTGTGCGCAGTACCAGGGTATATACTATTCAAACACACCCATAACCCACGAACGCAAATCTACAAACACACCCATAACCCAAGAACGAAAATCTACAAAACGCAAACACTTCAGATCGCAAGCGTACGTCCTCAATATCTCGTTCTAATACAAGAAACAATAACCCTTAGCCAAAAACCCTAAAATAAAACAATACATTTGCATACAAGTCCTTCAAACCCCCTAAAATAAAACAATACATTTGCATACAAGTCCTTCAAACCCCCTAAAATAAAACAATACATTTGTATAAAAGTCCTTTTATACAGCACCGTTGCGCATGTCGGTATATAGTATCGCCAAATAAACTCATTAGTGTGGGACAGGGGGGGGGGGGGAATACTGCCTGCTCATGGAATGAATTTCAAGAATGTATACAAAAAAGAGTAGCGTGTGTGTATGGATGAACCTCAAAGCACTTGTGCAGCTGACCTACCAGCAATTGAACGAAGATGAACAGCGTAGCACCGATGAGGCCGACAATGCCCCAGGAATAGAAGAACTCGTTGGGTATAAAGAACGCCGCCAGTAGCAGCAGGAAGATAACAACCACTTTGACAGCCCACCACCTGATCATTAACGGAGCAGAGAAGATATTTCTAGACACGCGCAGTAGGCCATTTAGGATACCCACGAAGAACATTACAAGAGCCCCTTATTTGACATTCATTTTTTTTTATGAAAGTACCCAAGATTTGCCCTCTAGTACACAGATTACAGGGCATGCTTAAGGTGCGTGCACTGCAATAAAATATGTAAACGATAATAAACTCAACTGAGTGTGCTACTTGTGTCAAT